GTTCTTGCAGCAAAAATCACAATGCTATAAAATTATTTAATAACTTATTTATTAATTAGTTTAGTAAACTTATGCATCTTATAAAAATATTTTTATATTTTTTTTTAAGTTAATCATCTATATATTATTAGTGTAAAAAAAATTTATAGTAATAATTAATTATATCTTTTAATTATAACATGTAACTATAAATATATTTATTTTTAATAATAACATAACATAATTAAAAAATATAATTAATTATTAATATAAAAAAATTTATATTGTCAATAATGTATAGCAATAAAAAAATTCTTTTTTATATATTCGTTGTATGCACTGCACATTTGGTGGTGCAAGACAGCTTGCAGTTGCAGCAGACGCGTGCAAGATATTTCAAGACTTAAACTTGCTGTGTTCATTTTTTATTAAATATTTTTATAGTCAATGTAGTTTTAATAACTTTATTTTAGCTGGTATAGTATGAGATGGGTATTTTTTATTTTTATATTTATTTTTTTAATTCAGTTAAAAAAATTAATTTACATATTTATAGTTTTTTTGGATTTTTTAAGTGTTTAATGTTAATTTTTTAAGTATATTTTTTATAGTTTAAAATGTGGGAGAAACCTATTCAAATATAATTTTGGCTTTCTTTCTCGTTCTTTTTTCACTCATGAACTTTTCCATAACATGTGATGCAATTTAAACACTGTAAGTTCTGCAACCGCACTGTTGTGCCTGCAAACACCATGTGGACCGCAATTTAAGACACGTGTACAATGTGAGGCTCAGAACATACATCTGTTGTTCATCTTTATCCATTTCTTTTTGTTAGTGGAAAATATTTTTGCCTTTACAAGTTATTTTTTTCTTCTTCTATATTTTCGTATGTATTATCTCCATGTTTAATATTTGAGTGCATGTTTGATTACACGTTCAAAATATTATTTAGAATAAAAATTATATTTAAAATATAAAAATTATAATTAATAATTTTTATTTTAACGTGATTTATTATAATAAAAATTTGAATCAAATAGACACTGAACTATGATTTCAAATGTTCTACTTGAATTTGTAGCATAATTGACACGATGGTTTGATGCTGCCATTATAAGTTTGGTTCCTTAGGGTACTATAATTCTGATTGGTGATTTTGTTAATATAGCTCAGTTGCGGGAGGTGAGGTTGTGGAATGGAATTTGTGAATTAGTCAACAGCATAGGTGTGCTTCCTGTGAGCACCAACATGGTCATGCTTCATGAGCCTTGGGCATGCTCCTTGGGTGTAATTTTCTAACATCTCAATAGACAAAATAATTTTGTATATTGTTTAGAGTAAAAGTTACTTTTAATACCTATTAAATCTTTTAAATTAATTTAGTCTTCTAATTTTTTTATTAAATTAATTTGAAAAATAAAACATGTTGACAATGATCCTTACTTGTATTTTTATGGTGTATTTGGATGAGAAATTTTACAAATTCAAGAAATTTGAAATTCTTGGTATTTGAATTACTTTGATTTCAATTTCTATTATTCTTAAAATATTTTGTTTAGATAAGTCAATTCAAATTTCTTGAATTTTAAATTGTTAGTTTGGATATGGTAATTTGATAGTATCATGATAAAATTGATTTTAAAAATGTAATTGTATGTTGAGATTTTTAAATTAAATTTTATAAAAATAAATATTAGTCAATTTTTAAATATTTAATAATTTTAAAAATTAATATTAGATAATATTTAATAATTTTAAAATATTTAATAATTAAAAAAATAAAGAGATAAGATAAAATATATAAGTGAAATAAGAAAAAAATATAAGAAATTTTAAATTCTTATTTTTTGGGAGAATTTGAAGTTTTACTATTTAAGAAATTTCACAAATGCTTGAATTTCAAATTTTTTGTAAATTCTTCATCCAAACAAAATATTTCACCTCAAATAATTTAAAATTTTTCAAATAAATGAATTACTTCATTTAAATTCTTCATTCAAACACACTCTTAGATGAATTGGTCTTGCACATATTTTTTAGTAAATAAGAACATACCTCATCATGTTTTGTTTTTATAAGGACTAGTTTAATATAAAAAAATTTAGTAGACTAAAAACATAATAATTTTTTAGAGAGATTAAAAGTAACTTTTATCTTATTATTTATCATAAATTTAAAATAAAATTCATATTTCCAAAATATTTATTTAATTTGAATTTAATTATAATTTATATATTAAAATAATTGTTTATTATAAATTAATTTAGTTATGTAAAATAAATAATTATCGTATACATTCTCCAACTTAAATTACTAGTATTAATTTATTATGTAATAAAATAAATTGAATGGACAAGACTCATGGGATTTCACTAATAAATAATAAGGATCAAAATCCTTTTTTATTTATTTTATCTCTATCCTTTATTTTCTGGAATCTAACTCAATAGTATTGAGTAAATAACAACTTATGCACTTTATTCTAATAACTGAGTTATATTCTTTAGATAAAATTTGACATTAGTTTTGTAGAGTTAGTTTCTGGTAATTAAAAATGTTTTTATGATGTTTATTAAATTTTAAATGAAAAATAAAGATGACATATAAAGTCGACTTACATAATGTGTATAATTTATTAAAAAAAATCTATTTTGATAATTTAGAACAAAATATACTAATTGATTTATATTAAAAAAATTAAATCCATCATTAACATATTAAGGATCGGAGTTTCAGCAGTTTCTTTATAAATTACACCAAATTCTTCCATCAAGATTTACTTTATTATCAAAATTAATTCAAATTGTCCAAATATTTATCTCAGCCAGTTGAATTATTTTAGACCACAAGCGTAGGAGAGATATCATAAAAGTGTAGAGTTTGGAATTCAGACAATTATTGGCTTGAAGTGTGAAGTCATGGAAGAGTTCTTCAACCCTTCAGGAACTTCTCTTTTGGTACCATCGGTTCAAGAGTTAGCTAAACACAATTTGTCTAAGGTTCCACAAAGATACATTCAACCTCAACAACATGAAGAAATTGTGGTCATCTCTAAAGAAGTTAATGGTGATCTCGAGATTCCAGTTATTGACATGCACAAATTGCTTTCTCAAGAATTTGGAACTTCAGAATTGGATAAGTTTCACCTTGCTTGCAAAGAATGGGGATTCTTTCAGGTCTTTCTAATTTCTTCTTGTTATACTCTGGTTGTTTGGAGTGTCTTACAAAAACCTCATTAAACCTTGATAAGATATGTTTTTTCCTCCACAATCTGTAATCTAAAATTTGGTTATAAAGAAGCAGATCAGTTAATTACATGATGTATTCTCAATTGGAATGTTAAATATTTAAATAATTGATTGGAATTTTAATATTCTTTTGCAGTTGATAAACCATGGAGTAAGTTCATCCTTTCTAGACAAATTAAAGTTGGAGATTGAAGACTTCTTCAACCTTCCAATGTCAGAGAAGAAAAAATTTTGGCAAACCCCACAACATATGGAGGGATTTGGACAAGCATTTGTTATGAGTGAAGAACAAAACCTTGATTGGAGTGATATGTTCTTTATGACCACCCTTCCACAGCACTCAAGAATGCCCCACTTATTTCCACAATTCCCTCTTCCATTTAGGTTATATTTCTATACTTAAAAACGGCTTACATGTGTATGCTTATATGTATGTAGAGACAGCAACACTCTTTTTAACATTTATACTTTTTTTATTATTGGTTAAAATTTATTAAAAATTATAAATTTTGTTAGTTGTGAATGTTATTGATAAGATCTCTTAAAATTTGTGATTTTTAATTAAAAATAAAGAAAGTATTAGAAAAATATATATTAAGAGTATGTATTGTTAATATTTATATATCTACATATCCATGTTTCAAAGATCTTGCATGATTATTCCTTAATTGCTCTCTGGCATGAGGAGACACTCTAGAGCTTTATTCACAAAAGATGAAAAATCTAGCCATGGATATTATTGCCCATATTGCAAAAGCATCGAAGATAGAAGAAACTGAAATAAGAGAATTATGTGAAGATGGGCTACAAAGTATGAGGATGAACTATTACCCTCCATCTCCTCAACCAGAAAAGGTCATTGGCCTCACAAATCATTCAGATGCATCAGTTATAACTATACTATTACAAATTAATGAAGTAGAAGGGCTCCAGATAAAGAAGGATGGCATGTGGGTCCCTGTTATTCCCTTGCCTAACGCTTTTGTTGTTAATGTTGGGGACATCTTGGAGGTAAATAATGTCATTCATGTTGTTTAATAATTTATTTTTTGGACAATAGACTTTTAAAAAAAATCGTACAATTAAGATAAATTTTATAAATACATCTAATTATAAACAAACAATGGGAGACATAACCTGTTGGAATATTTTAGTAGTTAAGCATCATGAAACTTCATGCGGATGATATATATAATAAAAGAAATTTTTTTTTATGATGTGTTTGGATAAGGAATTTTAATAATTTTAAAATTTTAAAATTTTTAAAATTTAAATTACTTTGATTTAATTTTTTTTATTTTTTTTTAAATATTTTATTTGAATAAGTTAATTTAATTTTTTAATTTTAATTTAAATTCTTACTTTAGATATGATTTAATTTTTATCATGAATAAATTTGATTTTAAATATATATATATATATAGAGAGAGAGAGAGAGAGGAGAGAGAGAGATTTTAAGATTAAATTTTAAAACAATAAATTTTATTTATTTTTTATATATTTAATAGTTTTAAATTTATATTTGATAATCTAAAAAATATTTTTGAATATTTAATAATTAAGAGATAGGA